TCATGATGTCGTCGATGTATGATCTCCGACCCAGCACCGACTCGCGAGCAGGATCGTCCGCGATCCCGGACTGGAACACATCCGTTGTGGCCCCAGCGTCACCGGATCGCGGGATCTTCCAGAATCCATACAGCGCGTTGTCTACGAGGCGCTGATAAATCTGTGGGGCATTCTTAAGCCCAAAAGGCATGCGACTCCATTCGAATAGTCCAAACGGAGTAATGAATGCAGAGATCTCGCGGGCCCGATCCGTCATGTGCACGACCCAGAACCCCCTGGCCATGTCTAACGTGCAGTACCATAGTGCTTTATCCAGATCCTCTAGTAGATCGCTGATCAGGGGCATAGGATAGACCATCAGCCTCGTGAGGCTGTTGACCAGCTTGTAAAATGCACAACCTGATATTCACACCGTTACTCTTACGAACAATCACGATAGGTGAGGCCCATGGCGATGTCGAGGATCGGATGATCTCGGCTGCCAGGAGGCCCTTGATCAGGCCTGCGACTTTCTCGCGAAATCGCGTGGGCACTTTACGGGTTCGCAGTGCGATCGGTTTCGCATTCCCAACATCGATATCGCACACGACGCCCTTGGTTTCCGATTAGTAGGTGTCGTTTCTTCCAGATTATTTGCCGAAGTCTCTCAATCTCCTCGGGTGTGGCCGATCCAGAGTCTCCCACCTGCAGATCTTCGATGCTGACCTTCGCGGTCGTCGAGATCGGGATTTCGGGGAGGCCGGCCAGGTTTCCTTCAAGACCTTCCGCTGCGAGATCGCCGCTGTCATGGTAGTATATCTCCACCTCGTCCTCGGCATCCTGTGAGGTGGTCGCTGCGGGTCCTTCTGCCGGCGGATCTCGTTGTTCGACGCCCTCAGTAGGACAGATCGGGATTCTTGCATCGGGATCGAGTTTGATCTGGCCTTGATCTTCCGTTTTCGACTCGATATCCTTGGTGTCAGTTCGATCGGGATCTCGTTGCCCGACGCCCCCAGTAGGATAGATCGGGAGTTTTGCATCGGGATCGAGTTTGATCTGGCCTTGATCGAGTTGGATCTGGGTTTGATCTTCCGTTTTTGGCTCGATATCATTGGTGCCAGTTCGATCGGTGGCCTGGTCCGGCATGCTCTCACTTATCCCGCCGCCCTCACCATCGTCGCCCAGGTACCAATCTGGATCAGGGCTGGTCGATGGCGCAGATGGGCGTCCTCGTCCCGGATCGAGGAATTCTGCCTCGATCCGAGTTGCGTCGGCCATTCCCGCCCTCGGTCGAGACTCCAGGCTCGATACCAATTATCGATCTCTGTCGATCTCATCGGATCCCGGCCGGCGGAGTATCGATCGTGGCGTAGGATATGATGGTCGTGGTACTGCCGGCTCCGCAAGACCCTCCATGGATTCCGAGGAGTCCGATCTAGTATCCACCGTCGATTCCAATGCTAGATTCTGCCGTTCCCGATAGCGACGTGACCCGACAGACACGAACCCCGGTGATCGGGGCCCTTTGGCTTGGACCAGTATCATGCCGACGTCCAGACCGTGATATAGTCGTAGGATCCTATCCCCAATGTTCGAGATCACCCGGTAGCGGGTCCGCCCGGGGCCTTCCGTAACTGTCGGTATCCATCGTTCTCCTCTGGTGACCCACAACGTTTCTGTAGCCGACAATTTTATTCGCACATCTGTTTCTTCCGCGTGACCGACCGGGATTCGTAGAGACCGTTCGAGAATGACCGATCTCACCTTCTCGCCATACAATCTCTTACGACCATTAAGTCGTCTGGTAACCGCATCGATCCGTCGGCGAGGCCCATCCGAATACCGGCCGGGACCATGAAATCCATGCCCAGGATCGCGTTTTGTCCTGATAGATCTCCGACCCAGATGTCGAAAAAATATACCAGATACCCTGCTAGAGTAATCTTGATCTTGGTTCTTCCTTCCGTAGTATAAACGTTATCACCGATTCCCACACATTCCTGTTTCTGACTGGTGTCAAAATTGCATCCCACCTTACGAGCAAAGGCGGTGTCCAAAATTGATACCTCAGCGCCGGTATCTAGGAGGAGGGTCGCTCTCTCCTGATTGATCCTTCCTGAGATCTTGGCTTGTCGGAACCATTTCCCCGGGGAATGACGTTTCCAATAGCCCCGGGACTCTCCTCTTTTGAGATCTAAGGCAACCTCCACATTAGATCTGCTGAATTCGCTGATCTGGGGAAGTCTCGCGATCCATCTTGGCTGTGTACGAATGCAAAATACATGTATTACCGCGTAGATCCGACTCCATCCTACCTCGATCCTCCGTCGCCTTGTTCACGTAGGCGTAGATGCAATATCTAGAACGCTCGGCTCGTACCGGATTCCAACCCGGCGAGCGTCCTAGTTTAACATCTTCTCGACTTGTTCGGGGAACAGCCCGGCGTGTCGAGTCGGGTCATACCATTTGCG